TTTTTTTTTTTACTTAACACAAAGATTAAGAGAAGCTTAAATATACTCTTTTTCTAGCATTTTCTTTAGTAGAAGCGTCCATTGTATTACCTTAGTATGGTACTCTTACAAAAATATACCATAGTTTCTGCCAATATTTTATTGATCTAAGGTTAAGCAACAATGGTTACCCTGGTTTGACTTGAGGTTAATATTTTAGTGACTCTAGTGGTTACTATCACAGAGCTGTCTGAATCATTTGTTTCTTTGTTTGCTCCAGCATGTGTTTATGACTAGTGGTCAAACGAAATGGATTTTTTAAGTAGCCAGTGCTGGTACTGACATCTACAGACCAGAGCGGTCCATTTCCAATATAACAAATGAGATGTACACAAAATTCCCAAAATAGAGTGAACATTCATATAGGGTGTGACGGTTCTTCTCGGTAAAAAATCGAACCGTACCATTCTACACCCACGGTTCGACACGCACTTGCACTGCGGTTCATCTCAAATCGGACAACGCATATGCATCTATAATATGGTTTATTGAGAATAAATAAGACATATAGAGTTAGGCTTATGTATATTTCTCGATGGATATGCCTTTTTTGGCTTCCCCTAAACTTTGTTCAATGCGAGTGCCGAATGCTCTATACTTTTACAAATTCAAATGTAAACATTTGAGTGCAAGACGTGAAAGAGAACTCGTGTAGGCTGTGAGAAGCTTTATATATTGAGTTATCTTTCTAGTCTTGCGCTTGAACGGACAAATTCACACAAATTGTCAACATACATAGTAGGCTATGTCTTAAGTGAATGTAAACAGTCGATAAAGAACGCATGTGTACAGTATCAGTGTACTGGATCCATTCATTATATCTTAAAGGGACAGCAGCCTAAATATTCCTGTAATGTTAAAGGTTCTCTAAGCGATCCTGGGTGACGTCACTTCTTGTTGACGTTCGAACTATTGTCAAACAAAACGGAGGCTAGCTAGACCCTCCCTCCTCCTCATCCGCACACTAACCCCCCAAACCACACCCCCAAACCCTTCTTGTCGGTCATTGGCTGGAACAGTTTGTTATGTTTTGGGGAGCGGGTCGCTGCAGTTTGTTTTTGGTGCTGTTTGTGAAGCATGGGCTGTCTACAGAGATCGCGTTTCTTTACAGTGTGTTCAGGGGACAGGCAGCCAGCGGATAGTGAGGAGATGTTTGCTGTATGTGACAAAAAATGTTTTGGCCTAAAAAACACATGACATCGCTTAGAGCACCTTTAATATAATGTTAATCAAACTACAAAAGACATGTAAATCACTCACTGCTGATTTACATGCAATGTTGTTTATATGCAATGTTGTTTTACTGTTGATTACTTTATTAAATTACTGTACCTGAAAGCTACTGTTAGATACCTAAATAACCTGAAAAGCACTGTTTATTTTATTTGTATCTTTGCTCCATTTTTTGAGAGAGAGAGAGATGTTGTCCGGTCTGATTCTCACTGCTCTGTTGCCTGTTACTCTTCCCGACAGGAAAGGCAAAGCTGATAAATGACATCCTGTGCTGTGTTCTCTAATGCAAACAGCCTCAACACACACTCTCCCTCTCATTCAGACACTTACACATATACTCTCTCTCTCACTATTACTAATGACTTGATCCTCAGGTCGATACCTGTCGTCTTAAATTGGGGATTTTGCTCTGGTGATGACTGTGTCAGTTAGTTCCATTTTTCATGAGTGAATGTGAATTTGAAGTGATTTGCTCTTGCCCCACAAAATGTTGAATTCGAATGGCAGGAACAGGAATTTATTGAATGGACCCTTGGCAATTTGGTTTTCAGGTGACACTGCGCTTGTGGGTTTAATTAATCAAAATAATGACTTGGCCTATAGAAAATGGGTTGAATTATTTGTAAAAAAAAAAAAAAAAGTCACTCCCTCAGCCATTGTATTAGAAACACCCTTACAGAAGGTGTTAATTTTGTTTTTTTGTCATTTCCTGCCAAGGTAATATAACACAAAGTATAGGTCTGGTTTCACAGACAGGGCTTAGATTAAGCCTGGATTAGGCCTTAGTTTAATTAGAACTTAGCTTTTAAGACTTAGAAATTAGAAAGTAGCTTTTATAAATGTGCCTTAGAAATCACTGGTCCTGTTAAAGGTGTCTGTCATGTGAACCTGCTTCATGGTGTTTGGCTACATTTTAAAGAGGAAATTAGAGCATTATGAGAAATTCTGTTCTTTCACCATGGTTGATATGCATATATATGAAATTTGTCTATATGCAAATATTTAATGCAAATTCTATAGATAGCATTTCGAACATTAATTATTAATATCATCTATTAAGTAACATTACATACTGCAGTTTCGTTATTGTTAATGAAAACTATTCAAAATTGTTTTTGTTCATTTGAAATAAAATATAAATATTAAATAAAAAAACTTATTTTATATCAGTTAGTTGCTAAGGCAACATTTCTAATTTTCATTCTTTTTTTTTAAGTTTGTTGAAGTACTAAAATTACTAAAACTAATACAAATACAGTAAAATAGAAATATAAAAAAAATGGCAAAAGCACATAAAATTACTGAAACTTAAGCTAAATTAAAATGAAAATTCTCCAGGCATTTTCAATTCAATTCTGATTGGCACAAACCCCTTACTGTCACAAACACAGTGTTCACACTCAGTTCTGCTTGTGATCAAGGAGCTGATGGCTGTTTGTGTGTGTGTGTTCGATACACTGTACCCTCTGTAGTCTCCTCATTAAAAGAGGCACGGTTGAATAGACACACTCACCAGTTCAACCAGTATATTTCTATGAGGTCATTGAACTACTTTCATGGGAGTCTCACCAGTGTCTTCATGTCCTGTTTTTCCTTGTTTGACTCTGCTTCAGGTTAATTTCCTGGTGTCACATTACAGCAGCTGCCCAGCTATGACACTATGGTGGTTCTGAATACTTTGTTACAGGATGGCGAACTGGTGATGGTTGGGTTTATAGTTGAAATGTGGTCGGGGTTAATAGTCCTGCTGCTCTGTTTTGTGATACAAGATGGTTTTATGCCCTGCTGGACCGATTTCATCTCTTCACTCAGTAATTGGCTAATGTCCAGCTCTTGTGCTGTGATGTCACACCCAAAGGGAGTGGCTGCTTTTTTATGACTGGGTTGTGTTGAGCATGAGATTTAGCTTCACCTTGTGGTTGTTTGCAGTGCTGCAGCAGGATTAAATTCACTCTCCATCTTCATTCATGCTTTTCCACTATCAGAAGCATCATCCCTATTAATAAAACAAAAACAAAAAAACATGGTTCTTTCAAGTTCAATTGCAGTATTTTTGAAAGAAATTAATACTTTTATTCAAAAGTTGACAGTAAAGAATTACCTAATAAAAATTGCATGTATAATCAAAGAATTTCGAAAAAGAATCCGGTTTCCACAAGAATGTTTAGTTGTACAATGATTTTCAATATTGGTAAAAATGTGAAATGTTTCCTGAGCTGCAAATCAGCATATTAGAATGATTTCTGAAGGACTATGTTAGAGCCCTGAAAAGGACTGTTTTCCTAATCATGCTCCCGCACCCGCAACGTGTGTGTTCCAGTCCATCCGGCACCTGCGATTCTGTTACAGCTTGTAGAAATTGCGTGAAAAAGGACACAAACATTAGGGCTATGCTAAACGTTCACAATAGCAGACATAAAACATTGCGTTTAACTAAACTGACTGTAAGATAAAGTACTGCAAGCACCAAACATGACAAACACATTCGGCCAGCTTTTTTTTATTAGACCTGTAAAAATATATTAACTTTTAAAACAAAACATCACAACTAGTGGAGCTAGTTAAAATATATATTTTAAAATATGAGTAACAGCACACACCCCTAAAACAACAGTTAATAGGATAGCTAAACCCGAAATGAAAATTTATTCATAATTTACTCACCCTGGTGTTGTTCTAATGCTATATGCCCTTTTTTGTTTTATGACCACAAAAGGAGAATTCAAAAAATGTACTGCTCGAGCTTGTCTATATAATGGCAGTGAATAGCGACCAACCAGTATCAAGATTTTTCAAAAAGACGCAAAAAAGTATCACAGAATTATTATCCCATGTGACGCGTGCAATATATACTAAGTGTTCTGGGCTTATACAATATGAAATTTAATGGGTTTGTTTTTACGAAAATTCTGACCTTGGCCGATGATCTATGCCAACCCGATCTCACGGCAATTCGTACGAATTAGCCACCGCGTACTCACTCGTACGAATTGGTCGTGAAATAGCGTTGTCTGTGCACGACTGTACATTGATGATACAGCGCCACAGTTCATACCGACTCGCCCAGAAAAACACACAATTGGCGAGAAATCAAGATGTACAGAAACGCAACACAAAATGCAATCCATGTACCTTCTTCTCTGAGGTGAATATATCGTTGTGTTTGTCGTTACAAGAAGTTGCACTCACATCCGTCACCTGTCTGACTGTCATCTGACAAAGGGAGTTCCGGTCCGGAGATATTTAACTCAGTGAAGAAAGTTCACTGACAGTTTTTGGGGGATTTCGAGACATTGTATTTCCTGTTGCTTATTTACTTAATGAATGAATACAATAATAAATCACTTGGCCTAGCCTACTACAGATTGCTATGGAGGAAGAGAATCTTACTGATTGACTGCGTGAACTTCATTTGTTGTCTCATCAGAAAGCATTAAAAATCTTACCACCCTCAACTTTTGAATGTGAGTATTATGTCAGGATTTGAACACTGGTCTCCATAGATACTAAACAGAAGAACAACCAAAAACATTTTTTTACTTTTTTACTAGTAAAAGCACATTTTAACAAATTAGTGGTAATTAACTGCATTTGTCCTGTCCAGACAGCCACAGGTCTGAAAAAAGAAAAAGAAAAAAACAGGTTCATGACTTCCCCGGGTAGAATTTAGATTTTAATTTGGTATCTTTTAAGTTAAAAACATCCTCTTTTCTTCCTTCTCTTTACAGGAGCTGGTAAAGCAGAGTGTTAGTGGACAGGAGGAGATTGAAGACACAGATAATCTGGTGCAGGAGACCGACAGTCAGTACGGCACATGGGAGACAGGACTTCGCACAGATGACAGGTGAACACACACGCCTTCGCCAAAACCAAATTAATTCCTAAAAGAGCCATTTTCCCCCCAACTTACATAGATACTGTACCTGAATGACCCCAAAAACTGACCTCAGCCAATGTTTGTAAGTCAACACCAGGATCAATTGCATCTATTGAGTGGGTCATCTGTAACAGAGCTATAATGATCTCATGGACAGACACACAGGCAGATACATCTTCGTTACAGAGCAGACTGGGGTTGTCAGAGAGGTTTGGATACAGTAGTGGCTAATGCAAGAGGGATTCAGATGAAATGAGAGCTGATGTATGTCGATCATTGGGTTGGGCGTGTGTTTTGAAATAGTCTTTGGATGGGTGGACATTGTGTTTGTCTATTGACAGGGATGTCGCAAAGGCAATGTATCCACATTTAACTTAAGTGAGTTACTCATCATAGTTAGCTGGTAACTTTATTAGGAACTGCAAAATGAAATCAAATTATACGAACGGGAGTCTGATCGTCATTCAGGCTTAAGTGATGTGTGCAAATCAAATTAAATACATGGGCTACAAACCATCTGTTACTAAAATTGTAATGTAACGGAAGTAGCAATCTTTGAAGTAGTCTTCCATATTGTGATGCACATCCATATGTAACAGTTTATTGAAAAAAAAAAAAAAGAAGAGTTGGAACTTGATACTGTCCATCGGTTGTTGATTGGATAGAGGCAGAGGAGGGGAGTTAATATTAACTAGTCATGTTTTTTGCTTTCTCTATGCATTTTCTGCACAAATTAAACATGACAACATGTAATTGTGTTCAAATATCCCTTTTCTCCTCCTCAGCCTCACTCCAGCTACACCTTCATCTGAAGGAAACCTCACCCCGTCTCCACGGAAGGCAACCCCACCCCACACGGCCGAACAATCCCTTCTCTTCGACACACCCGATGGCTTGACCACATCTCCTCACAAGCAGACAGAGCTCCCGTTCCCAGAGGTCAGTCTTCATCCTTAGACCATAAAGGGATAGTTTATCCAAAAATGATGAACTCACCCTTGTGTTGTTCCAAACCCATCTGAAATACAAATGAAGATATGTTTAATGAAATAAGAGATTTCTGTCAATCCAATAAAAATCCAAGCAACCAAAACTTCAAAAAGTCATTGTAAAAGTAATGCATATCAATAGAGCTGTTTAATCCAAGTTTTCTGAAGAGACACAATCACTTTATGTGATGAACAGATTTTATTTAGGTGGTACATAGGTACAATTTTATTTAGATGGTCATTGAGGTGGAAGAAACATAGGTGGTAAATGAAGCATTAGGGTCAGAAGACTTCTCAAAAAGCTCAAGTTATATGCATTTCTATTACGATGCCTTTATGAACTTTTTGAAGTGTCAAAGTTTTGGTAGAATGGACTTCTGATTGACAGAAATCTCTCAGGTCTCATTAAAAATATTGCATAGATTAAACAAAATCGTATATGTCTGGAATGACATGAAGGTGAATAAATGAAAATGTTTTTATTTTTTGGGGGATGAACTATCCCTAGAAAACACTTCTAGACCTTAATTTGAAGGCAAACACACAAAACTATCCGTGGCATTTGTTTTTCTGTAGGCACCCACGACACTGTTAGACTCTAGTGCGCTACGGGCCAGGGTCCACTTAAACAAGAAGAGCAATCGCAGAGCCCCTCCCTCACGAGCCGCCCGTCATAGCGCCCTCTTATCACAAGTACCCGAGGGAACCGAAGCAGGAGATGATGAATGGCGCTACAAGGACTCAACAGGTACTTACACATATCTTAGCAGCTGGACACGTGCGTACCTGACTGTACATCTCATCCCATGGGTTTTGATTTTAAGTAGGTTGCGGGTCCTCTTTGGGTCATAATTGTCTCTAGTGTAGCGGAGCCTATAAAAGCTTATAGTCCTCGACACTCACTTCAATCTTTCTCTCTGTCTGTAGAGGAGAAAAGTGACTCTCCTAAGCAGGGGGAGGAGTCCGACTCTGAGGAGCAGGCCAAGGGAATCGACTCCCGCACTTCCTCCGTGTCTCAGCCTCAGAGAGTGGCTCTCTTCCCTGGCATGGACCCATCTGCTTTGAAGGTAAGACTTTTGGGATTTGGGATTAGAGGCCTTAGACATGTATGTATCAATTATGATACAGTAGGCTTTATAGAGTAAAGCCTTGTTTAGCCAGCAACACACAAAGCAACATGATTACATTCTTTTGTAATGGGGAACAGGCAACTTCCTGAGATATATTATATGTAATATTATAATTGATAGTTCTTGCTTATTTTATGGTGCAATGAGCAGTTTAGCACTTCTGCAGTTTATATCAAAATTATTTTCCCTGCACTAAGTTCATCATTAGGGACAAGAACACTGATTATTTGTCAAATTGGAGTGAATATTTTTTTGGCATTATGAGTGAGTTTATTATGTAGATTAAGTCATTAGCCAGATGAATGATAAAACGCACTGAGCACTAATGTACTTCATATAGCAATGTTACTTTTGATTCTTTTAAAAAACAACTACTATTGGAATTAGAATATCTTATTTTTACCAGCAATATGTGTCATCTGTGATAACATTTTCTAAAGAAATATCCAGACAAGCAGACTACCAATAACAGTAGAGCGACAGAATTAGGAAAGCCCATGTGTGACTCAACAGTGCAGAAACTAGCAACATGGTATGATTCCACACCAGCCAATGGGAGTTATAAATATAAATAAATCAAATGAACAACCATTTTTACTGATCATGATCACTTTTTTATTTTATTATATTTTTCTTTGCACGGTATCGGGCCGGATACTGCACACGTGTACTTGAAAATGATGGCACGTCTACATGTGTACTGCGTACGTGTTCTTGTACTCCTAAAAATGCTCTGATACCAACAACCGAAACCACACAGTGTGTGTACAGTGCAGGTTGAAATGTGTTTTAACAGGAAATTACATCGCGATTTCCTACAGCCAATGAGAGTGCAAGATACAGGGCAAGGGAAAGTTCAGGGGGAGGAGTCATAGACCTATCAGCAAGCATGGCATCTGCAAGCAACCATTCTCTCCTTCATAATCTTTTTTTTTTTTTTTTTTTTTTTTTGCTGTAAATGGTACCCCAGACAGTCGTGTAATGTGAGAAGAACAGCGATCTGATGACTTTGAAAAAATGTCCCAGCATAACAATGCTTGTTTTATGTCTTACATGACAAAAATTGCATGAATTTTGTAAGATGGCTTACAAAAGAAGCTTGCAGCTTGTGACTTGAGGTTCATTTGTTTATTTCAGGCTCAGCTAAAGAAGAGAGGAGAGTCAGACAATCAGACAGACGGCCCCTCGCCCTCTCAGCTCTCACGCTCACCGAAATCTCCATTCTTGCCTCGAGCTGCCCGTGTGCTGCCTCCTGCTGGTGGCAAAGAGAACGGGTAAGGGCTTTTTAGGTTCATGGACAACAGAAAGTTTCAGAATCATCTCTTGTCTGGCAGTCTTGACCAGTTTTTCTGTCTCTGTCCCCTCTCAGAGAAGAGTCCTCACCTCAGTGGCTGAAAGAATTAAAGACTAAAAAACGTTTGAGTCAGTATGAAGGCGACAGTACAGCCTGAACAAGCAGGTAAACAGTCTTATGTGTCTGTATGAGTAATTGCATTATAATTAGACATATCCTAAATCACAATACTAAAACTTCTGTAGTAAATGGCAATAGCAATGGTTGATTTTTTTTTTTGATACCACAGAAAAAACTTTTATAAAAATGAAAAATTATAAAAATTGTAATCATAGAAACTAAAATCAAAATATTTTTACTTTTTTTTAATGTTAAATATTAGTATAAATATGAACAAATTAAATAAAAAAAAATGCCATGGTGCCTCAAAGTATTTCTCAGTAAATTAAAACTTACTTAGTTTTTATTTTATTTATTCAAGCAATAGATCAAATAAAGACAGCAGAACAATGTTTGCTGTAAGTGCTTTAGGTTTTTGACAGCAACATTGAGTGTTCAAGTAAGAAAATACCCCAAAAAATCGAAATAACTTAAATTAGTGACCGTTTTCGCTGCATGATTATTACATACAATACATTCATACTGATTCAGTTCTGTCTTTTTTTGTTTTTATATTTATTCATTTATTTATTACGTTCACTTAAAGGGATAGGTCAGCCAAAAAAAAAAAATTCTGTCATTATTTACTCACCCTCATGTATGACCATTTTCTTCTGTGGAAATAAAAGAAGATATTTTGACGTGAGTGTGAGCACGTGCACCAACATTTTTCAAAATATGTTCATGATTCATTTTAGGGTGAACTGTCTCTTTAAGAACTCAGGGCCCAGAACTTCACTGATAACTATAAAAAAATTATCAAGTTTTGCATAAACAGTTTATGACCTTTGACCCCATAAAAGTACATAGTATAAGGCATTTGCATGACACATCGCTGGGTTACTAAAGCATTATTGATGTGTTTCTATTAAAAAGCAGTCAGACCATAATACAGTTGTGGTACTACTTACACTGGAGGAAAAGTGATACTTTTTTTTTAAATACATTTTGATTTGCACTTTTGACATCCCTCATTATAATGTATTTTACTATATGTATGTGCCCCCCCCCCCCCCCCCCCATTATCTCAGGATGCCTTATAACTGCAGTATCTGTAGCTGTAAACTCGTGACAGAAGCCTTAACCTTTGACCTGGAGTTGATGGGAATTCTGCTGCTGCTGCTGCTGACTACGACATCATTCTGTTTCGTTGGTTTTTCTGGCCTTCCTCTCCAGCCTGAGTCGTGTACATGTGCATGGTGCCTTTCTAAAAGATTTCTGGCTGACATAAAGGTCGAAGCAGAGATCTGTGTGTGAAGCGTGTGTCCATGTATGTGTTGTCGAGTTTCTCTGCAGCTCTTCGTCATATGAGAGAGAATTATTTTTGCATAGAGCCACTTTAACCTCTAGTGAGCGAGAGATCACCGTTTATAGTGGAACTGTGGGACCACACGCTCCTACAAGTAACCTGAAGTGCTTCATATAACTGGAGTATGATGCTGGTTTATTTTGACCCTTTATGTTCATATTAGCACAGTTAATATCATGCTTTTTTTTCATTCACTTGATGATTATAGGCATCAGTTGCACATGCATTTCCATAGACGTCATGATTTTATTTCTAAACTTTATTAGTCAACAAATCATTGCTGAGCTGTATAGAAAGTATTTAGTTATGACACATGTTCATGTAATCACAGAAAGTTATATTTGTATTAATGTCGGTTTGAAAGAGGAAAATGGTAAATGATCAAAAAAGGAGTCGAAATTCTTCATTTAAGAAGAACTGCGGCCCTCTGAACTGTATGCGTGTTGATGTGTGTGTGGGAACCTGATTGGATGGGCCACCAAATGAAATTAGTTCATTTGTTTGCACACGTTTTCACATGCAACGGTCCGTGTGTTGCCGTATATGGATAATTTGTTTAGTTTCACCATTCCATCATCTTTTCAGTTGAATACATAATTTCATGATTGGAAAAAATTGCGCATGTACAATCAGTCATTCCCTTTCTTTCACTTTATTTTTGGTATTTGTATCCCAATACTTTACTTGCTTTAATGATGGGCCAAAAATGATGGTAGGAAATTGCACAATCAGCATATAAATCTCGTTTTCTTCCCTTACAATGTAATAATGAATAAATACAAAGGGAAAATGTTTTATTTGTGTCCCTCACTCACATCTTAAGGTTTTTTTTTTGTTTTTTTGTTAGTTTACTAGTTCGCTTAAGGGAAGTTTGAAATGTCAAAGTACTGTAAACATTGTTCAGATTACATTGCACACTAGTTGTTACCGTATTTTTAAAATAAAAAAAATAAATGCTGGGTCATTTTGCCACTTAACAAGCACTTTCCACCTGTTAATGAACAGCGTTTCTGACCAATAGTCATTTTTGTAACGCATGAGTCTTCGTTGATGTCTATGTTGTGATGTTGGTATGCTGGTGGTGTGTGAGTAATGTGTCCTACGGTTCTTTTTTTTTTTCTAATATCAGCTTCTTTTTCTTTGTCTGCCTACAGTTGTTATAGTCTGTTTAAGGGTAATTTGTCCTTTTTATTTTACATTTGACTGTAAAGATGTTCATTGCACTGTTGTAATGCCAGTGTCCAATACTGTAAATTCTTAATAAAATTTACTATAAATTGATTTATCCCCCCTTCTTTTTCTTAAAATTGTTCTTTTCAGAACTTGCAAAAATAACATGCACTCTGCCGCTGGGAAGAGCTCATCTATTAACACCATTTTTGGCAGACAACTTTAATCACAAAAGTTCATGTGTTCATGTGATTTTTAAAGTTCAATTTCCATGTTTCCATGCACTTAATTTTCAGTCACACTTTAGATTAGGGTCTAATTTTAACTATTAACTACCGGTACAACTTTTGTCTCAATAAACTCACACTGTAAACAATTATTTTCATGATTTATCACTTTTTTTTTCTTTTGTCAAATAAATTTTGATAACTCATTTGGTTCAGATTACATATTTTTAGTTTCTGTTTATTAAACCAATTTCCTTCATTGTATTAAAGGAACACTCCGACTTTTTGAAACTTTAGCCTATTCACCTTATCCCCCAGAGTTAGATAAGTCCATACATACCTTTTTCATCTCCGTGCGTGCTGTAACTCTATCTGACGCACCCACCGCTAGCCTAGCTTAGCACAAAGACTGGATGTAAATGGTTGCAGCTAGCATACTAATCCAAATAAGTGACAAAATAGCGCAAACATTTTCCTATTTACATGTTGTGATTTGTATAGTCACAGAGTGTACAAAAAACGAAGTCACATGAGACACAGACATATTTTAACCGTATAAATACTGGGAACTATATTCTCTGAAGGCGAAGCACTGCTACTTGGGCGGAGTGATAACCGCAGCACCTGAGACGCGCTCTCTGCTCCTCACCACGGCGCGTCTCAGGTGCTGCGGTTATCACTCCGCCCAAGTAGCAGTGCTTCGCCTTCAGAGAATATAGTCGCCTTCAGAGAATATAGTTCCCAGTATTTATACGGTTAAAATATGTCTGTGTCTCATGTGACTTTGTTTTTTGTACACTCTGTGACTATACAAATCACAACATGTAAATAGAAACATGTTTGCGTTATTTTGTCACTTATTTGGATTAGTATGCTAGCTGCAACCATTTACATCCAGTCTTTGTGCTAAGCTAGGCTAGCGGTGGGTGCGTCAAACAGACTTATAGCACGCACGGAGATGAAAAAGGTATGTATGGACTTTTCTAACTCTGGGGGATAAGGTGAATAGGCTAAAGTCCCAAAAAGTCGGAGTGTTCCTTTAAATCAATTTTTTTGTTTTAACGAACTAGGCAAGCCAACCAGGTAACTTACTTTTTTAAGTTAAACCAACACCAACAATATATTTTTACAATGTAAATACTTATTAATAGTTAGTAAGGTAGTTGTTAAGTTTATGTATTGGGTAGGATTAAGGATTAGAATATGTAGGATGTAGGATGTAGAATATGGTCGTGCAGAATAAGACATTAATATTTGTTTTATAAGTACTAATAAACAGCCAATATCCCATGGATAAGCAACTAGTTAACAGTGAGAATTGGACTCTAAAGGGTTACCTAATTTTCTGATGAAGGTCCATATTCTGATTAAAGCTTATTCTGAAAAGACTTGCTTTACAGCTATTGAAATATTCCTGTAATCATATTTTTATTTAATTTTTTTAACTGAGGCCATTGTGGTTCAAATCCTATCTAAAAAAAATAGAAAACAATGTGTAAGAGTTATAAATGCAACATCAGAATATCGAGATTATAATATTGGAGTTCCACAAGGTTCTATTTTGGGTCCATTGTTGTTTATGTACATGATTTACCAAATGTTTGTCCTCCAGATGTTATTTGTCAAATGTATGCTGATGATGTTGTCCTGTTGACTGATACCATGGATTTGGTTTCACAATGGCTCCTTAAAGCTGCAGTCCGTAGCTTTTTTGGGTTAAAAATGATCCAAGATAAATTTTTGAGCAAATACATAACCAGCCAGTGTTCAAAACTATCTGCTTGCCTTAGCTCGATTCAAAGCGGTAAGCTTGTAATAATGTTTTTAATTCTGTTTTAAGTGGTACTGGTGGATAGTGGTACCGCGAGAAATTCAAGCATGTCTTTGCGTCATTACGTCACATTTGTACATATAAAGAAGGAGTCTCGGCTAGTCGGCTATATTGAGTGTGAGGATGCTGGAGGTGGAGATTTATAGCCTTTTCTCACAGCACTTGATATAATTAAACTTATCAATTTGATGGCGGATCCAGAAAGATTCAAACGACAATCACCAGGGACAACTAGAGACTCACCCGCTGTAAAATGTAAAAAGACTTCGGAGTGGCTACAGAAAAAAAGAGACTGCAACCGGACCCATGCGAAAACAAGGATAAATATCGGAAGGGCATTAAATGTTGTCACGCAATGCCTAAGTTGAACATTAACAATTTGAGAACAAAGTATAATTTGCACGGTTTTATGTGATACGATAAGCGATTGTTAGATTTAATCAGCGCGATTTACTGCAATGATTTTTTCCCCTTAGTTGGTCAGAACCAGAACAACAGGAATAATAATAGATTCAATTTAGTTTAGGAATAATAATAGATTCTCAACTTTCTTTTAAAAAACATGTGAAGAAAGTGATAAACAGTGACATTTCATTTAGCAAATTTTAGATTTATTAGAAATAGCTTGACTACAGAAGCAGCAGTCTCATTTATGAACTCGATGATTGTTCCACATATTACATACTGTATGACTACCTGGACAAAAACATGTAAGTCATTTCTTAAACCGGCTGAAATCATGTATAAACAAACTCTCAAGGTTCTAGATAAAAAGCCAAATAGTTTTCATCATTGTAGTATTTTAGCCAAGTATTCCCTTTTTAAGTTGGGAACAGTTGATTCAATATGCTGAGTGCTGTGTATGACTTTTTTTAAATCATAATTTTGTTCTACAATTTTCTCATAATGTGATATTCCATTTAAACATTTTCTCTGAGGCAGAAGCTAAAGTGTTTTCAAGATGTTCGTTTTTGTTGCTGTTGTGAATGAGGTCAGGTACATATTTGTGTAGGGATGCCAAAACGAGTCCCCTTTTGACAATATTTAGTGTTTTGTATATAGATAAAGAAATTAATATGAATTAGTATGTTTTGAAAGAGACTGAATTCAATAAATTAATTATAAATCCAATCAATCAAAAGGTCCAATCCACTTTCAAAACAGTGAATGACCAAATAAAAGCTCAGAAACATTCATAACGCAAAATCACTTATTTATTTCTCAGCAGTAGCAAATGGAATCACTGACACAATTGAAAAGGTCAAAGATAAGCATTCAAAAGTGAAGAGGGGGTGTTTCAGAAGCACCTATTGCTGGGAACTTAGTTAGAGGGTTGAAATGCCCCTCTTGGGTGATATTGCATGTCACGGATGCGCCTCACGGATTGGATCTGAGGAAGCAGGGCCCCAAACTCAGAACACTCCTTAAACTCTCCTTTCTCAAACAAATACTGGTAGCCTCTGTATCCTGGGTACTGATAGCCCACCCAGCTGTAATGGAGAGTAAAACAAGAAGTGAAGCAAAACTGTTATTATACAGGAGCACATGGAAACTATCAGAAACTGTGCTTGATGTGAGATTAATGTATCATGTCAGCGATATTTTTAGGCTTTACTCACGTGCCACTCTGCACACGAACCGAAGAGACTTTCTCATGGTATCCATGAGCGTGGAAGCTGGGAACGTCATCATCTACGATCTCAATCTTCTTCCCGGCAAAGTTTGGGTTCTCGTAGAGAACGATCGTGTGTTCCTGGCTGTCCTGTGGGGACATAAGAAGTGTAGAAAAGTATATTGAAAGAACCCCTTTGGGACAAATCAATGTACACATTTGGACATGCTTGACTGAAATGATGAAACTGATCATAAAAATCGTTTGATCTAAAGGTGTATGCATAAACGCTTTGAAATAAGTCTTGTAAATCCTTTCCAAAACTACTTTATATATATATATAGGCAGTGACTCTTTTTACAGGATGTACCTCAAGGACATGTAGAACCTAAAATTTTACTTAGCTTTGACTTGTTAATGTTTACCGTAGTCACATAATTTATCAACAATTTGTATTTTATAGGTTTTACAATGACCTTATTGTTATTCTAAAATGTGTAATCTACTTATAATGAAGAATAAGTGTGCAAAATGTTGACTGGTACTGTATATACAGGAAAATGACATTTGATAACCCTGCAGCTATTTATTAGTTACCACTTTAATGGGGCGGAAGGCGACGATGCAGTCACTGCGTCTGCTGTTGGTCCAGGCGTCCCAGCGAGGATACTCACCCTTCTCAAACACATACTGTTCCCCCTTACAGCCGGGCTGCTCATATCCCACCCACCTTGAACAAAAAGTGAACTTCTTTGTCATGATTTTTCGCTCAGTTATTTTAAAATATCCCAGTGCTAATTTAACAGCACTGGGACATTTCACCCTTTGTAACACTCCGCTTGTCTGTGTTTGTAGCGTTCCAGAAAAGACTCTGTGAGCGATAATGAATTGTTTCATGATGTCTGGGACAGGGTTACCAGATATGTGTAACAAAACCAGCCCATTGGCCAATCAAAATGGTTCCAATGATGGTTTAAACAAAACCAAATACCACAACTCAAAATATGCAACTCTCATACCTAAACTATATTTTACAATTACGCATTATACAACTATAAAATCATTGTACAGTAGTAATAATAATCTGTTTTCATAAATAAATTATCTTACCTTAAGACTGACACCCTTTGGTGGGGTTGGTAATCCTTTATTTTTTTTACTTTTTCAAAAATAAACTATTTACAGTGTGTAATCTAAACGTAACATTTCAAGATAATACATGATAGGTTTTTTTTTTTTTACTATCAACAATCCAGATTTGCCAATCTGTTACCAGTGCTACTCCCTCACAAAATCCACCCGGCATATCATCTAAAGAATTTTATCATTGTTAGAATATAAATTGTTTTCAATACAAGTATTTCTGTCAAGCCCAATTTCGCGGTAAAACTGCAATGTTTTCTCTTAACTCCAGGAAATTGAAAAACCGAAGTGGAATAGC